CATAGCACACTAACAGCACCCGCACACACAGCACCCTTACACAAACACACACACACACACACAGCACCCTCACACGGCACACTAACAGCAAACACACACACACACAGCAGTGTATGTATGTGTTTACGTATATATATGTGTGTGTATATGTGTGTATATATATATATATATATATATATATACATACACACACATGCGGCGTATGTTTGTGCTTTAGGGTGCACACCCTAATGCAATAGGTTGTGCACGCCTATGAGCACTGACCGTAGTTCTGAGAAGTAGATTTGTACTTGACTTATCAGAAAGAAATACTTGTGATTCCTACAGGTGTTATATGAAGATTACCCAGGCGAGTAACATCACAGTGGAACATAACATAGCTGTTATTCTCCTACTAACACAGTTCCTAGAGCGGTATAGTGAGCCAGCAAACTGGAACATAAATGGGGCATAGAGTTTTAAGTCCCATCAGTACCAGAGCCAGCCTGGGCACAGTGCCTCCTGGACTTCCTTGGTTTCTTCTTGGTCAATGGCCTTAGATCCTGACAGGGTCAGCACCATATCTTAGTGGATATGGTGCCTGGCATTCAATGCCCAAATTTTTGGTCACATATTTAAAGGGGTAGTTCTTCTTTTGCATTAGATCACGGTTTGTATCGATTGTGTCCCTATTTGGAAAAACTTTATTGGCTGAACACATCGACAGTGGTTATGGTGCCTAGGCTATCCATTTAAAGCTGAAACCCTCCAAATCAGAACATTTTATGTGTTCTAATGTATCTTTTTCAGTTCAGATTAAAGTGAATCAGCTGCTTCTAAGTTTTTATATGGATAGAGTCATTATCACAAACTGTCAATAAATGTAGTATGAATTTCACTACAGTTCTAAAATGTACAGACAATAAAGAATGTTTATGTACACCTACAAAAATAGAAAAAACTAAATACTGATTCACTTACACCCGACTTACCTTTGCAGGTTTAGATTTGCCAACAGGCAGCGTTGGCACCTGCCAATAAGTACAAGTAGTCACTCTTACCTGTGGCAAAAACACCTAGATGGGGAGAGGATGTAGCACTGGCTGCAAACCCAAACCCACCGCAGATTCTCATTACAGCCATGGTGCAAAGATAAGTGCTAGCAGTGGCCCTCTTTAAGTATTTAGATGGTTCCAGCTAAGTACCATTCACTCACCTGCTCAAAGTGCTATTCACTCACGGCTTAATAACACCCACTTTCACTTTTTTTTTTAATTGCCGGAAATTACCAATTCCAACTAATCTTAAACCCCCCCAAGTCATACACCCTATCAAGTTCCCCTAGTAATCCCAAAATACAATCATTCTTAACATCAACTCTCTTTTACCCAATGTCTTTTAGACCCTAAACACTCCTTTTCTCTAACACTTACCTTAAAGGAACACTATAGCATTAGGATACAAATATGCATATAACGCTATAGTGTTCCAGTACCTATTTAAAGCTATAGTGTTCCAGTGCCTCTTTAACGCTGTAGTGTTTCAGTACCTCTTTGGATTTCTAACCCCTTCTACATTAAGTTACATATTTTTGTTTCCACCACCTGCTCCACCTCTCAAGTCATCTTACTACATGCTGACTCTTCTTCGGAATCTTATCCAATTCTCAGGATACCTGATAGTTCCAGGCGTCATTCGAGAGCTCATTGCGATCCTTCACTCTTAACTTGCATCGATCTCGGAGTCAAACAACTTAACTCCAGAACTTCGTATCCTTCCTGCATCAATTTGAACGTTAGACAACATATTCATAAGACCTTGTGTCGATACAATGCTGAGATTGACATGAGGCTACCTGCTTGCATTTTTTTGCATCGGTCCATTGATAAGACCAACGCAAGCCAGCCCTCTAGTACCACCCCGCGTTGATTCAGCATTCAAATTGACACAAGACAATCTGTCTCAATCTTATGAATGAATAATGACACGGACCACCATGCCAGCTTTCTAGCCAAAAATTATGTCATTATGGGGACCCAGGCCAATGACGTTCTGTCATCGCTCGGACGATACAGACACTATTTCTATTGAAATTCAGTCCAGCAGGAGTCCTATGCCTAGTTATGATCTCTAGTAGCCAGAGAGTGTGCTTATAATGTGATTCGTCTTTTGGATATGGACCTTGGCCTATTCATTTGACTATTCTAAATTTCTCCAGTCATCACATTGGCTTGGCTCACCATGTTGTTGCCTTTCTGTATTTATCGACCTCAACTTGTCTTTGACTAGTCCTGTTTATAATATTAAACCTGTTCACCTAGTAGTACGTTTATTTTGCTGCTATTCTAGATTAGCGTGTTGGGACCCGTACCAATCCTGAAACCAATGCTTCTCATAATTCAATCTAATCCAGAATTTAATCTCTTTTAGACCATAAATCTGAATTTCAACTACAACTAGCAGCCATCACATCAAACAATTATGTGCATCATTCTGTGAGTTGCCCAGCGGATGCCATATTTGCAGAACACACAAAAAAAATAGCATAACTTTTAATTTAAACTATACATTTATCTTTGTTTGACAGGTATACTTTAAGCCCAGTAACATCTGTTTATTTCAATACATAGCTAGTCCTCCTGTATGATTCATGAAGATACAAGATTAAATCAGGTTTTGTTGAAAGACAATACCTTTGTGAAAGAGTTTTGATTTTTACAACATATTACTTTAAAATAGTAGGAGTACTTCTTGATGGATGGAAACACAGGATGTAAAATATAAAGTACTCATTCATAATTTGAAGGACAGGGGTTGTTGAAAGTGCCAGCACAAAATGTCTCTTAATGAATCACTCACCCAAAATGATGGCTACAACATCAAAACATATAAACATGAAAGGTATATTTAGATTTTCACTAGTTTCCAAGTAAATCCTGGGGTCTAAATGGTTTTAATTAATTAATTTACTATCAATCTACTTTTAATGTAATTTCCATTTTTAAAATGTTTCATTAAAAGTACAAAATGTCTACACCCCTTACTGTTCACAAACAAATCTCCCAGGGGTTCTTTGTCCCAGAAACTCTCCCTGACCTAACCAGAAAGATGCTGATCATAACTATTTAGCCTGTACATGGTTAAAAATATCTATTTAATTAGGATGAATCCTATGAGAAAGCTTGAATAACGAAAGGTGGCTTACCTTCAATAGGGTTCAGTGCAATTTATCCTAGATACAATCTTGCTGTATACATTGATTCAGGTATGGCTCAAATCTTGGCCTTGGAATTAAACTAAGCCCATGGGCCAGAGATCATTTACTTAATCCAGTTAAATTTCATAAAGAGGTTAGATACTGCGTAAAACTGTACAATCCCACAGTGCAGATTATGTTGCATTTCCCAGGTGGGACAGTTGGAAAAGGTATTCATATGAAATGTTGTTTAAAATGTCTAAATCAAACTGAAGCAATGACAGAAAAGTCTCTGGATGCACAAGGAGAGGGCAACAGACAGTGGGATTTACAAAGGGATAAGATCCAGGGAATCTGAGAGTGGACTCTCTATAAGGGGTTCGTCATAAGTGACACCACTTCTGGATAACAATATGTTGGTGTATGTGTGAAGCTGCGCAGGAACAGAGTTGTGATAACATCTTGAAATAATCTTAAAATTATGCCATCTATAATATGGGGTGCCGGGCCTGACAACCAAGATGGCCAGACGTGTATTCTGCTAGCTTCTGTCAACTTGAACTAAAATACCTCGGTTTAATCCAGCTGGACACAACACTAGGCCACTTGGGGATCACCCTTACTATACACTACTACACACTAAGCCTGAATCTGGGTGTCCTGATGGAAACATGCGGCCTACTGAAGTCAACTGTCCAGTGGATGGGAGAGGCGGCTGATCTCCCGGCTCCGGGCTTAAGTTTGTTAAAAATGTTTGTGCAGCCCTGCCCTTTCCCCACCGGACGGGTGGGGGATATCCCGGTCCTTACTGGGTGCACCTACACCTCCGCAGAGTGGATGCCCTACAACCTCAACCAGCCCAAGCTGGTCTGGAGGGCCTGTCATGGAAGGAGACCTTAGAGGATAAATTCGAGAAGGTCTGTCAAATCTTTTGGCTCCGCTTACAAAGCCGTTCGCTCCAGCTTACCTCCTCTGCCGCCAGGCTGCAACAGAGGCTACTCTACTTCCCTCCAGGTGTGGGATCCTACTGGAGCTGAATCTGGCCTGATGCCCTGAAACCCAGAGGAGCTCCCAGCTTACGGTGGTCCAACTCCAGTGACGATCACAGTGACCTCTCTCTGCAACATCACCCCACCCTGACCCACAGCGAAGCACAGCCGTGCCATGATCAGCTGGGCTAGACCATGTCGCAGTGTGGATAGTGAGGAGACAGAGGAAGGAGCCTCTACAGCGGCACCAATTCCAGCGACACAATCTGGCTGTGAGGCGAGCACTCTCTGGGCCACAGGTCATCATGGAACATCCCCACTTCCGCCGCTCACACCCTCGGAAAGCTCTTACTCAGCGAGCGCTGCAGAAGCCCCAAAATCAAGCTCATCCTGCTGAACGAAAAGGGACTTGGGATTGTCTTCCTGCAGGTAAGAATGGTCTCCCCGCGCTGGGGATTGGATAGAGGGGGACTTTTGCTGCTTACAGACCTCCAGCCTTGATGTTGTTCACCCAGTGGAACTTTATTCCTAAATGTTATGACTTACTGCATGTGTTCTGGATTATATTTTAGTTAGTTACTTTCATCAAGTGTGCATACCATGCCAGTTTTCATCTCTAACAGGCTTGTTAGTATTATTATTATTATTGCCATTTATATAGCGCCAACAGATTTCGTAGCGCTTTACAATATTATGAGAGGGGGGATTTAACTATAAATAGGACACCTTACAGGAACAATAGGTTGAAAATGACCCTGCTCAAACGAGCTTACAGTCTATAGGTGGTGGGGTATAAAACACATTAGGACAGGAAATATCGATCAAACAAGGTGTGAGTGAAGCAGAGCTGGAGAAGAGAGTAAAGTGCTGCCCCATACGAGAGAGCAAGAGACAGGTGTGTAAGGTAGAGGGTACTCTGGGAGGCCATAAGCTTTCCTAAAGAGATGGGTTTTAAGGCACTTCTTAAAGGATTGAAGACTAGGGGAGAGTCTGATGGGGGTAGGCAGGCTATTCCATAGGAAGGGAGCCACCCGCGAGAAGTCCTGCAAGCGCGGGTTGGCTGTACGGGTGCGAGCAGCGGTCAGGAGGTCACGTGCAGAGCGGAGGGACCGAGAAGCAACATACCTATGGATCTGTAGTACTTCATGTTACATACCAATAATTCTCATGATATACTAGCTTGTGTCTAAAGCATTTACAATTAGTGAGCAATCTCCATGTCTGAATGTACCTACCTGCCTATAATCTTAGATTGTATCTAATACTCTGACATACCAGTTTAACCTGACTATATACTAAAAAAATTAATATGCAGTTGAATCGATTTGTCACACGTGTATGCTTTATATTGTGCTCACCATTGCTGTTGTGGCACTGCAGGCTTAATTGTATCGCTATGCACAACTAAAAAAATTTAAAATTTAAAAAAATAAAAATGCAATATGAGCAAATAATGAGAATATGAATGCACGCAGAATGTTACTGATCAGCGGGGAAAGGCTAATTAATACATGTATGACTGAAATCTTGGTGTTCATGGGAAAAAGAAGGACAGTGTTGAGTATGAGTGTGTGGAATGTTAGTGACAAGCGGGTATGGAAAGGTCAGGGTGAGTCAGTGTGATGTTAGATTGGGTGAAATATGAAGAGAGACACATCAATATACATACACATCACATGTACAGACATATACACACTTACATACGGATACATTGCAAGACAACATGTACAATCCCAGTAAGCTATGTTGGGAGGGGTATGCTGCTGTTGCCAGGAATGCTTGGCATTGGGTTTGGCCCTCAAAGTCTGGACAATGGATAACACTGAACCAGTAACAAAGGCTCTTCCTTCATGGCCGAACGAGGGGAGGGAGAGATTCTCCATGCAGAATAAACTTTTTTTAGAGCTGAAATAATAGTATTTCCAATTAGGTCATCATCCATTATATGAGATGTCGAGTTTCTAGATTGTGAAAAGGAAATATGCAAATCAGCCTCCATTCCAGGAGAGGCAAGCTGATGGTTGTCAATAGGCTATTATGGAGACAGAGAATTCCCCACAATGTCTAGCTGTGCAACGTAATTAATTATCAATACTATCATTGTGGGGCTGAGCCCATTCCTTCTACAGCCATCAACACCAGAGAGTCTTGGGGGTCACTGGAGGTTGGATGGAGTGAATGGTGCTGTACAAATCTAGCTCCCAGGCACTGCGGGACACCCATTAAAGATACAGATACACATTAGAAGTTAGAAAAAAACTATGTAATGTCATTTTATAAGCAGATTTCTACTAACACTAACAACTGCTATGTTGAATGCCTGATACAATATTTAAAGGCTTTTTAAAGTTTGATGCTATCTGTATGTTGTTTCCACATCAAATATGTTTTCTTTCCTAATTTCTACTGACGCTTTTACCTTTTAATGGGTCTAAAAGTAAAAAAAAGTTACTGTGTAAATGGTAAAGAACAAAACACAAGAAAATTCAGTGATGCCACTTTGGTAAATACCAACAGTTACCACATCCCAAGAAAAGCCTGAGAAAAATGCATACTGAATACTTGACTGCATTATACAAGAGCCGTGAATACTCCAACTTTACAGTTATTTTTCCTCCAGGCATAAAAGCCATAAGAAAATGATCTTTATCTTTAAACATTACAAACCAATAGTGCATGGTAATAAATATTACTGGCTTGCAGCCTAGGGTCAGAGGTCGGATAACTATTTAAATCTAATTAACAAATAAAGTAATGAATAGTTACAGTAGTAATATTAGTAGTGATAGATACTCTAACACCTTAGTGAGTTTCCCTTAGACCCCACAGTAAACAGAAATATACATACAATATAAGGTGGAGAATCCTTCTTAGTATGGTTTAAGATAGTTCTTAGACGAGTATCGTCCTAAAATGGAATATAAAAAGACGAACAATAGTGCAATATTGCCAATCCGATAAAATAAAGTGCAGATAGTAGGTGGAAATGCACTCACAAGCGTAGAGCCAATGAATAAGGCTCAAATATATATCCCACAGAGCTGGAAGTTTGAGCCTTATTCATTGGCTTCACGCTTGTGAGTGCATTTCCACATCCTATCTGCACTTTATTAGATCAGATTGGCAATATTGCACTATTGTTCGTCTTTTCATATTTCATTTTTAGGACGATACTCGTCTAAGAACTATCTTAAACCATAATAAGAAGGATTCTCCACTTTATATTGTATGTAATTAACAAATAAACCTGCATTTAACACAGAGTGACCTGCATCGCATATAGAATTATACATTTTACAACAGATTATAATCAATTCATTTAAATTGCTCTTCAGAAACAGTGGTGAAAGATTATCAAGCATTCCCACCATTCATCATTACTTTATTAATTAATATAAAGGAAACACTTACGTTCAAGTAAAAAGTCCAGCACGATGGCTGCTGCTGACAATTAATGGCTTACAATAGCGAGTGCTTTGTAGTCATAATTGGTCCTTGTATTGCGTCCATCCTAAGAAGATGAAAAAAAACCAAAAGGGAACATTTTACTAATGACAGCAACCGCAATATAGTCTTCCATGGGACTTCCATGTAACCCAATATCAGCATTAAATATTTAGCTGGCAGGGTCATTAATGCAGTCAGTAAAATAGTTTCCAAGTCATGTAGGGGTAGACAGTGGCACTTTGATACTCCCTTGGGAAACTGGATCAATTTATCTCCCAATCATTTAAAATTCATTGCCATAAAATGTACTTATAAAGACAATGAACATTGCAATGGCTATAAAACAGAGGGGGAAAAAAAAGTAATCATCAGCTTAGCATAAGAAGGAATTGTATTTCAGAACATATGGGGTGCACAGGTTAGCATTCAATATTTTATACCCAACACCTTATTATTTGTCTAAAACACTTCCTTTACATTAAAATCAGTGTAATATTTATTATTGAGGCTGTACAATGGGCAGAACCCTGATTGATGGGACTATTTATAATAGCCACGTTGTGCTGAGCAGTCACTGAATAACACAGATCTGCTGTTAAGATATAGCCCACCTGCCCCAGGCAGCTTTCTTTGGAGCATGATCAATATCTATTTAACAACTTGAAGGTGCATGAAACATTACTTCCTTAAAAGATGCTTTTAGCAATCAATGCAAACAGACTAAATCCACCATCGAGGTCAGCGGAGCAAGGCTATTGAAGAGCAATTAAATGCTAACTAAATGTTGCCTCGTAAAGTAAAAATGAGCTGTCAGCAAAGTTGGAAGATGAATTTGTGCTCGGGAGCCGTGGTGCTACAAGAACATCTCATCATTCAACAATATCAAGTCATTGTCAACATGGAGGACACAGGAGTTTTTAAGTCACACTTCTAGAGGTTAGAGCAGTTTATTAAAAGAATAAGCCTTTAAATGAAAACAGTCACCTGTTAGGAATACTCAAAATATGAAATGGGAGTCATTTTGTAACGTAGTCTACTACTGTCTCAGTATATCTTTTGACTGCATTTGGATTTCATAAAGATTTTATCTTTATAAAAAATAGTCAATTTGGAGGGAGTGATAATACTTCTCTACATTTCCAAAAAGGGTTAGCTCCAACTGCAAGCACCCCTTTAACCATCTCATGGAATAATACTTGCTTAACCCTTTGGCCCTGAAGAGGATAATAAGGGAGAGATTACACAATATACAATGTTTTGTTGTAAAGAAAATTAAGGAACTATACTAAATTGCTTTTATTCAGACCAGTCGCTACCAACTGTCTGGTTGATGGGTAAATGTTTCTTGTGATTGTAACTGGGCCACAAGCCTAATCTCACAGTTCAGAACAAAATACTAGTCTGCATTCATGAAGCCATATCAAACAAAGGATTGTTTATTAAACATTCTCTGATGTATCAAAAAAAAATATTAATGTTCTAATATCATAATTTTGGTATGATCCCTGGGACTGGATGCAGGATATTATCGGGGATTCCATCAGCTCAGCCCAAGATATAATCCATTTCAATCGACTCCTGGCCAGATAAAAACAGGCCCGGTATGTTATTATAATTATTAGTATTATAGAGCTATCACTGGAAGAGCCCTATCCTTCCTGACCTCCATCTGGTCACACTGTGCTCAGTACTTTCAAAAAGCTCTCACAATTGGAATTGTTGAATAAAATGCAATCATATAAAATCCAGGGGAAGTAGGTTAAATACATCTGACACGGTGAGTATGTTGGAACTGAAGTGGATTATGGAGAAATCAGTTAACTGCAGACGCAGTGAAATCAGTACAGGGACTGTGCTTCTCAGCCTGTTCAGTGTCACTATGCATCACACTGCACAAACTGTCGGTGCACAAAGACTGGAATTTTAAAAAGCAGCAGCTTACAGGAATAGGCTAAACAACGCAATCACTGCTCATCAGTGTTTTATTAGAGCTCAGTGTATTATTACAGCTTGGAGTTATTGGTGACATCCACTGATCTTTTTGTCAAAACAATTGATAGTGGTTTCATAAAAATGAGGCTCTAACTGGCACCCTGATATCCCTCCAGTTTTAGAGGTCAGTGTGATTCTGTCCAACATGGACGGCACATTTAAACATAGATCAAGGGTGAGAAATTCCTATCGCCTGGCGCCTAGGGAGGGCTGAGTGAGTTAAACCCCTGCCAGACCACCAGAGTTACAGAACCGCACCAGGGATCATAATTTAATTTCAACAAAAAGCCCCATCATGCACATCACACACAGTCAGCAAACGCATATATTAAACACAAACCACACATATATCACACCGGGCCAACACATACATGCACATGCACACTTCAAGGGAGCAGAAAATATACTCTAGGCCAGTGGTAGTCAACCTTTTTCTACCTACCGCCCAGTAATGCATCTTTCTTGATCGAAAAATTTTTTCATTACCGCCCACCAGTTTTCGTGCAAGTGCAGAATATTTTTTAGAAAGGAGGGTGTTTTAAAAAAAAATAAATGTACGTACATTTATCTTTTTATTTCTACTTTATGCATGTTTATAATGTTTTTAACTTTATGAAGTTTAATGAGAAAACAAAGTAAATTGAAATTACC